CTTCCTGTTACGACAGCAAGTGCTGAACGTGCATTTAGTACATTAAATAGATTAAAAACTGTGCTTCGAAATTCTATGACACAGTCACGACTTAATCATTGTTTATTAGCAAATATTTATAAAGAAAGGTTTGATGAAATTGATCCATATCAAATAATGTCAAAATTTATCGCGTCGAATAGCAATAGACAAGCCTTTTTTGGTTCAATGGTTTAATTTGAAATAAATGATTTTTTTGGTATGAAACTTTTATATTTGGTAAAGATTCACAAATTCTTGCGATAAAGAATAGAGCGAACTAGAACAGTGTTTTTCACAATACCAAAATAATTGAATAATCTAAAGCGACTTATTAACTGAACTTATTTTAGTCTATGTAACTTATTTTAGTCTATGTCATTGTATAATATATAAAAGTTTTGAGGAGTAACCAATAACCTTATACTGAGCCTTACCTGATTTGAAAACGTTCCGCCGCCCCTGTTTCAGACTATACATCATTTGATGCAGTTTTAATGCTGATTCCAAATATTACGTAAGTTTTAAATAAAAGTTTTTCTGAGCTGAGAAAAATAGATTTTATTATTCTGATTTTATCATTCTGACTCATTACAGATAACAGCAATGTTTGAACTTTACATTTTGTAATTGTAATCGCGCATGTCTGCGAACTGTGCACCATATTGAAAGCGTCATAAAGCTTTTTGGTGAAGATGTAATTCTTCTAAAGCATCATCCTTATCCTATAGTAGATGCTAACATCATAAATAAGGATTTGGCAAGAGTAGAACAATGGTTCGAGAGATGGTCTGTGGCGCCACCTGTAAATGGTGTACAGTGCGTAACTATATCTTTCGCGCTTCTTAGGCATCCACCTATAAAGCTATATAATTATTATCTGAAATATTCCTTGGATCATTTATTCACAGTACGGCAAACAGTAGTTTACTCAGCGTGCGAGGTAAAAAGCTTTTCTATTTTATCTTTTCTTGCATAAGTGTTACGTATGTGTGATATAAATATGTATTCGCTTTTTCTTTTTTGTTATTATTTGTTCAAGGTAAAAAGAAAGAAAAAAGTAATAATGTGAATCATTTTATTATCGTCGGTTGAAAAGAATACCCTCTAGCCGTATGACGTACGATGTCTATATCTACATTGCTTAGTTTCGACTGGGAAATAAATAGTTTATTTAGAGGTATAAACAAGGAACAATAAACACAAAAACATAAAGAGCTAAAGAAGTCAGAAAATCTGATCTTCTCACATTTTCATACCTTCAGAAAAGAGAGAACAACTATAAAATTAAACACTGAAGACAATCAGGGAACGAGACGGAGATTGTTCAAGCAATGGGGCCGCTCTTCAAGATGTGCTGCTTCCGACTCAGATCACCGAAACAACGAAAAATCGGAGTGAACGACAGTTAATGATAAAAAGATTAAAAGTAGACAAAAAGCATCACACTTATCATTATTGTACTAAATGCATTATCACAAGCAATAGTGATACGCTGTTAATAGTCTCTTAACTATCTGTTTTCATTGCATTTGCAACGATTACAGTTGTTGCCAGATAAAGAAGAACAGATATCATGAATCGGAAGGATTATTCTCTAACAATTTTTTTTGTTTTTCCATTTGTTCCTCTCTGTATTTGTGGAATGCATTACTCTCTGTAAAACCTTCGTCACTACACTTGTAGGCAAAACAGGGCACAGCTATTCTTTCACATTCAATTTTTGAACCGAATGCTCCACTGTTTACCGCTTTTTTGACTTCTATTGGTGAACTAGACGGCACTGATGCAACCAAATAAAAACTTTTACCATCTACATCCATTTCGAGTACAACCTCATGATTTCGTTTGTAGACCCCACGGATATAACCAGTTTTTATCTGGTTTCTTCGTTGATCATACCATGCATTTATACTACATTGATCCTTGTCTTTGAAGTAGAGAACAGCGGAATAAACATTTGGCCGAAATGTGACGTCCTGCAATGCTGTTTGCAATGGTTCATTGTCGAACATCAAGTTCAATGGAACCATGTAACCGGTATGCAGTATTTTACTTCTTTTGTCGTTGTTCGCAGCCATTGTTATCGCAAAACTACAGACAGCAAATCTCGCTCGCTTCGTCTTTCTTATACCCAGACTTCCACATGAAAACGATTGCGCAATTACCTGTATACATTATGTCATGTTAACAGTACGTGAATAAAAATTTCAACGTTTTTGATACATGCAATCTACCGTTTACACTTTAACAATCATTCATAAACATTGCGGCAGATTTTCTAAAAAACAAGGTTGTTTTCAACGCAGAACAAAAATCGAACAAAATGCAAATCATTAGAATACTGGTCACTTCTGCCTCGGTAAACAGATTGCCGAGAAAATTTAGCTCTATGCATAAAATTAAATCAATATGCCGGCAGCATAAAGTTTATAATTTGATATTAACTTTTCTCTGTTGTCGACACAGCCTATACGTTTTTTTTGCCTTATTCTTATGGCGCATAGCAACGCTCCTATTGGTGCCATTAGGTGCCAATGGTTACGCTATATGCTCCAGCGTACGTTATAGAGTAAAATATAACGAAACTTGCGATTTCTTAAGTTGGAAATAATAAAAAAATTAAATTTAGGATACTTTAGCCCATAGAATAAACGCGAAAAAGGTCAAAGCAGGCGCTTTCTGCGCTAATTGCGCCCGGAGCGTAGAAACAGTGAAGACATCAAAGATAATGCCTCATTTTTTCTTTCTAGAACTGCTAATTAAAAATACGCGCGTACCTTGGAGAATTCAAACCTTGATACAAGGAAGTTAGGCATAATTTCCTTCGCATTTTGAAGAACTTTGGATCCTCTTTTCAGTCCTGATTACACCATGTTTTACTCGGACTTTTCTTCGAGAACATGACGTAATCAAACTTCGTCACAGAGAGATCTCCATGTAGGGCAAAGAGTTATTTCAGTGGAAATCGTGGCTCAAAAATGAAAAGTTTTGTTCTGCCATTAAACCCACCAAATAATAAAAAACTGTCAAAGGACGGGTGCCATATTGGAACACCTTACCTGAGCTGATGAACCGCTGTAGAGAATCGAACTATATAGCCGTCATCTCGATGGTCTAAAACCCTTGTACATTTAATAGGAATGCCACCTTTTTCCATAAATTTTTGACGGTTGCGATCATACTGTTTGCCTTCACGAGACTCATT